CTTCATTTGCAAAAATGCTCGCTTAAGTTAGTATGGTTGTATATCACTCTAGTTCTTCAGGTTAAAAAACTGAGGTTCTATTTGGAAGAAAAAAACAAAAAAACAAAAAACTGAGGTTCTAATTTACTGTGTTTCACAAACGAATATTATTTGTGCAACATTATACATCTGCAAATTGTGAAGGGAATGGAGTCCGGGTTCCCAGACTTTTTATTCTGGTGCATCAGGTTCCTAGTCTAAGACAGCATGTGGCTTCGTAAGGACCTTAGCTTTTACTAGGTGTTTGACTGCAGTCATATTTCTTAATCTCTATGCTTCAGTTTTCATATTTGTAACAAGGAGATAATAATAGTACCTATTCGCTGATTAATTGTAAATAATTAGTTAATATACATAAAGCTCTTAAGACAGTGTCTAGCTCACAGTAAGCCCTAAATAAATGTTAAGTTACAGTACATATTATTTTAGCATATCCAATTGACTTGCAAGGAGAGTTCGGATCCTCATGGCGTACACATTTGGAAAATCCCCAGTTGAGTATGTATGTTATGCAAGTTCAGAAGTTTATGTACACAGCAGAACCTAAGCTTTGTTTTTATTTTATTTTTTTGCGGCTGGCAGGTACAGTGACCGAATAACCTTTGTTTTTACCTTAACAACGTAAAAAAATTGTAGCCCAGTAATCCCATTAGCCTTAGCTTAATTACCAATATTTCACTTGTCCTTACAATGCTCCTCCCAGTGAGAAATGAGTTTAAGGGTGTAGTAAGTGGACCTGTCCAGATACTACATTTTTAAAAAAGCTGAAATCAGTGTATTGGAACAGAAAACAACATATTAGTCAGCCACGGTTTGCTCACTGGTGTAAAGATCTGCCCAATCTTTCTTAGCTGGTAAAACGTTAGGTGAAACGCCTCAAGAGACCCAGCTGGGAACTCTACAGGAAGTTAAAAAAAAAAAAAGTTCGTTTTAACAAAACATCTGATGCTCAGCCATCTGTCTTTGGCAGTACAAGGTTTGTGTGGTTCCTTCTGATGTCTTGGAAGGCGGAGTTACAGAGCAGAAGCAAAAAAGTTGTAGCAAGCTAACTTATTTAAATTATCAGGGGGCTCGAAGGCACCTGCACTTAAGTTACTCTAATTCAGGCCAAACTGCTGTCAGCTCTAGCTCCTGAGGGACACCCAGCCCGATTCCTACTGGGGCCACCTTCGGGTCCCCCCATCTTAAGCGCACACCTGCGCGGGGCGGGATGTGCTCCGCGTAGGTGACTCGCATACGCGACACTTTCGCTTCCGGAGGCTAACAGGGCTTCCCTCTCCAGAGTTACTTGTAAAGGGTTGGCACGTGGACCCTCTTCGCCCACCAGTTATCTCCTATTGTGGGAGAGGCTCAGAGGCCCCGGCCACCGAGTGAAGGGAGACCGGGCACAGGACGCTGTCATCGCCGACCAGCAGCAAGCCTCGACTTCTTCGCCAGGCTCGGCTGGGCGATCCGAGGCCCCACCCATGGCAACGCCGCTCTGACGTCCGCGTGCCGGAGACCGCCATAGGCCCGCGTCGGAGCCCAGGACGACGTGTGGCGCGTGGACTACATCAGGTCCACCCCTGCGGGAACCCGGTGGGTGCTTCCGGGCAAGGTTCTGTGCACCTGTTCCTTCCTTCTGCTCAAGCATCTTCCCTGTCTGGGGAGAAAGGGACATGCCCGGCTGCAGAGAAAAAGATGTGTGACAGCGAACCTCCGCTAAGCACAGCGCGAAAGACTGAGCCCGTAGCAAGAAGGTGCCAGGCACCTTTAAGCCGTTTGCAAGTTCACGTGACTCACCGAGTGCCGGGTCCCAACGGTCACGTGAGGGCGCGCGCGCACTCGCGCAGGCAGAGCCGGCCTGCGCTGTGCGCGCGCCTTCGCCGCTGCCTCCCACCCACCCCCTCGACGGGAGGG